CACTGTATCAAATGCATTGGGGAAATCAACAAACAGCGGGTACAACGGCTGGTGTCGTTCTCTGCAGTTCGCCTACAACTGACGAGCAGCAAGCACCCTATCTGTAGTGCTGTGACCCAAACGGATTCCGCACGGCCCTGCGGCCACGTTTGGTTCCAAAACCTGACTGACGAGGTGGTTGGGCATGATGCGGGAAATCACTTTGCCCACACAACTCAGAAAGTTGATGCCACGATAAATGGTGCAAAAGTGCTTGCTTCCGTTGCGCTTGTACAGTGGTAGCACAAGGGCATCCTTCAGCTCAGGATGCACCTCCTCCTCAATCCACACGCGTTGCAACAAATGGTGTAGCACGGTCACCAAGGCGGGTCCGCCATGATTCAATACTTCGGGAGGGATCCCGTCGGTACCGGCACACTTGCCGTTTTGCAGCTGAGCAAGCAATCCCTGCGTCTCATGCAGTGTCGGCGTGTCCGCCAGACTCGTCTTCACATCGTGCTGCTTCAGGCCGTGCAATGTAGGCCAGTCAATCACCAGATGGTTATTCAAGAGATAGTCAAAGTACGTTAGCGAGATCTGCATTATGTCTACACTCTGTGTGCAGGCAGCTTCCTCAGCGGCTCCAACCTCGGTTCATTTACCGCCTTCAAGTAGTCAAAGAATTCCTAGTGTTGGACGCATTCGACCTGACATTGCAGCTACTTCGCCTTCTCCGCCCACCTTGCATTTTAATGCGACGGAGTTCTTGAGTCATTCGTCGTCGAAGTTTGCGAAGCTTTCTCTTCTTCCCCAAGTCACTAGGGTCTGCCACATGCGCCGCAAATGCTGCATTCTTCTCCGACATCAATACGCCAATCGTCACATTGTTCTCATCAATCGAGTCAGGCCGCTTACAGATTGCGCGCCCGATGGTCTCCTCGGCGGCAGCTACCACCTGTGCCAACGTGGTGCCACAGGTCGCCAACTGTGGTTAGGCATTCCACATCACACAGGCGTGCAGCCATCGCCTTCTCCAGCTCAATGCGTTTCGCCAAAATACCGAGGGAGAGAATGTTACAATTATGCCGGTTCACGGCGGGAGTGCAATTCATAGAGTTACGAAAATATATGTACAGTTTGGTCCGCACCAAGTTGAGATCAGTTCCACACTCAACTCCACGCAGGTTATGTGTCACGAGAAGTTCACGCATATCTCGATGACGTACGATGGCATAGTCGAGCAGGTGAGCGTGCTCACTCTGTGGGTGGGTCCAAATTACTAGATCACTCGCACTCAGTGCAATCTGAGTGTGCGTGTTCGTCAGGCAGTGAGTGGCGCACAGTGAGAGCAGCCTGTCACCGTTCGCATTCGCCGAGTCAATGCCATGCAGACCGATAACATGTGTCCACACCGATGCATCACGCCCAACGCGCGCGTTGTAATCACCCAGCAGAAATAGTCGGTTGCTCCTCAGCACAGACTGTATCACGGAGGATAACTGAGTATAGAATTGAGCACGCATGTCATCAGGATATCACATTGTCAAACGTATGGCAAACTTACCTCTTACGAGTCGTAGGCGAACAGTCATCAGTCGCGCGCTGATGCCAGTTGATTCACCCACCAGTTGGCCATGGAGGCGATCCAATATTGCAAATCCGACCCCATGTTCATGTGGTGCCGAGGTGGCGTTTCCCACCCAGTAGAATGTATTTCCATCTCTAGCTTCATGAAACCTACCTTGCTCAGCGTACCGGGTCGAGCTGAACGCCGAAATATCGATATTGTACCGCGCCAGTTTCAACGCTATCAATGCAGTGCGTCGCTCGAGACGCTCACTTGAGTTCCAGTCCAGTAGTGTGCGCACGTTCCAGCACCCGATGCTGAGTGCTTTGCGCGCAGGCATAACATTGCATTGTTGGGCAATCGCACGAGAGGTGGCACTTGTGCTTCGGAGCTTTGCTTGAGGGACTCCACCCGGAGCATTTGGCTCAATAGCTTGACCCACAAGGCATTGGGTGGTTTGGAGGTTTGCATGAGGTACTTCGCCCGGAGCCTTGGACTCAATAGCCTGACGCACAAAACAGTGGGTGATTTGGAGCTATGCTCGAGGGTCTTCGCCTGGAGCATTTGGCTCAGTAGTCTGACCCACAAGGCAGTGTGGAGCAGATCCACCTTGGGAATGTGATTTCAGAGACAGACTGGGATCTGCTTGACGGCCGTCACACGCAGTCCTTGAGGTTCCGGAACAGTGCATTTATGTTTTGCGATCACGGCCAGATGCAGCTGGGTTCTTGCGGGTTTGCAACAATTTGGCCAGGGGCTGCGTGGCTTGAGGCGGGCAGTAGCAAATATTTGAGCACCCAGAGGTGCCATCGCACCATCAGAGACGATGCGTGACGCTAGTGCTTTACGCCAATCGATATGTGAGCTTATAACCCGTAGCCATGTTGTCTCCCATGGTTAGGTTTTACTGGAAGTGGGCCATCGACCACTTCCTAACCTCCGGAGAGGATGGACTAGGATACCGGTAAAGCGCCCACGCCTGACAAGAGAACGACTCTGGTCCTCAGCCAAAGCCTTCGATGAAATGTACACCTGAAATGTAGCGGGTCTGGCACATGGTCAGTTCACTGACTCATGCGGATTGTTGTCCTGGATCTTAGAAGGGTGAAGGGTATAACTTAACTCCCACCCAGCGTTCACCAGGAGGAGGCGACCATGAGATGAGCCCATGGCACATTAGTAGCAGTAGTGGATAGACCATCTGTCAGGATCTAGCCACCACCTGCCTCTGCGCACCATAGTGTCTTCCGCCGACACACACCTATGCAGAGGAGTAGATAATCCAACTGGATGGAGGTGTGCGTGATGCACTCAATTCGGGTCAGAATTTGCTGAGAATAAAGGCACACTCAAACACTAAGTGCTGAATGATACATCTTGCTTCTTGCAGTGCCGCACGTTTTATTTCCGGTTGATTAGTCACACCCTCGTAGATAATGGCTACCCACCGTCCTTCATCGCTCCGTTTAGTGCTGTGAAAGTGTAAAAAAGTATGCCCGCGGTACAGAAGCTACAAGTAACACCGCAACTACCATACAAGATAGACGACGTATACCAATCCGCAGTGGCGCGCCTATATCCTACGACTTAACCAGTACTAATCTACACAATGAATAGTAGTTCGACACCGCCAGTCAAACCGCCGCTGTCGCTGTCCAGCTGTTTCCACCTCCATTACCAATTTACATGTATTTGCAGAGCCTAATACGTGGGCATGACAGAACGACAATTGAGAGTGGGTTAGTAAACATGTCTCGCAGAGGCCTGCGTCTACCACTCAGAATCACCAGCCAATGAAGCGAAATGACGTTCCATACAAACAGCCGGCGTCGTTAATCGCCCGCCACCTGTTGCCTGACAACCATTGGGGCCAACTCACACTGTATACCAATTTGTATGTGACTGCGGAAACCACTACATGGGCAGAACTAATAGAAGTCTGACTTCCCGAATAAAGGCGCATCTACCATGATGGGTTCAGCTCAGATTAGCCTACCCTTGTCAGATTCCGTGTTCGCGCAGACCGCCGGCTTCCTCGATAGGCAAACACCTATTGGACTGGGGTCACTGGATAGAGTTGAGCTCAGCGTTTAATGTTGTGTTACGTCACACTAATCCCCGCTTCCTTCGATTTGCTGAGGCTGTCTTTATAAGCCGGATGAAGCCAGTCTTGTTTGTTCAGAAAAAAATATTTGTCAGCCAAAGCTGCCTTGGACATAGGTATGAACTTCCGTCATTCGTTCTGCACCTCAAGCTTGTCTGGTTGCACCCAATTAGTTATATCTATGCATATCGGTTATTGTTAGTGGTACTGAGGAGACAATACGAGATGCATGCATCTACCAGCCTTCGTCTTTTTTCCGTGCTTTTCATACCATTGTGTAGACTCTGCAGGAGCCTTCCGTGTTATCTATCTCTCAATGAACCCCCTAAATTTACGATATGCTGAGGCCGTGGCCATCAAACAACTTGGCCCAACTCTGTGTGTGCAGAAAGACGCATTTGTGACCCTTTCTCTGCCGTGGTAGCAGGCCGGGAACAGATGACCAGGTGACTGTAGGTGCGTGTGTGTGTGTGTGTGTTCAGTTTGGTCGATTTGTAATTTCAACTGCGCTCATTTCATGTTGCTATAAATCCACACGTCTGTTGTAGGCACTTGAAAATATGCAGAGAAAATTTTCCGGAATTAACTCGTGCGGCACTCTTGTGTTAAGTTTTCGGCTAAAAATTTCCTCGGGTACTAATTGTTTCAAGTATTCCTAAGGCTAATCGTTATAAACCATTAACAATGGTGTGTTGTCTCTAGTAAAGTAGAGGATGATTAAGGATTTCTAATTACTTAACTACCGATTTTTGAGCAGTTTTAAAAGCGTAGTTCAAGTCATGTTCAATAAGATGGGTGTAAATAACGGAGTAAGGACCGCATGCACATGCTACATTGGCACTTCTATACGGTATGTGATTACCAACAGCATACCGTTGTGCCATGGGTTAGTGGGGCCGGGAGCAACCATCACACTTTCGCAACATAAACTGTACTATTCAGTCTGAGGTAACCAAGGCGCATTTGTCGAAATAGAGGTCTGCGTTGCTAGCTGATGGTAGCACTGTCTGCCCGGGAATGGTGATAACTTTATGTTGCACTGCAACACATCCGGTGGGATTAGGGGGTTGGTAACCCAGTAGTGGTGAGAGCGAACCTTGTACTTTCCAGGTACAAGTGAATGCTCGACAGATGTTAATCTAAACACTATATATATCTTCAGCAGGAACTGGATTTTTCCACATCTACTTCCAATTTTTGTAACCCTGGAAAACTGCGACCGGCAAATGAGGTTTATTAAATCTTTTGGCACTCAGAATCCACACAACTCTACATGGCCTCTCACCGAACGGTGTGCTTTATGTTGCTGCTGTGCTGAAGCCGCCTTTTCTCTCTCTGTTTTTCTTAAAGCACTGGCACTGGAAGGACAGGAGTATTCCTTGCCTTGTCCATCGTCCTGGAACGCATGCGGTACGAAGGGGTCGTGGATATGTTTCAAACTGTCCGAATGCTCAGAACACAGAGACCCGGTTTGATTGATACAGAAGAGCAGTACCAATTCTGCTACGATGCTGCTTTGGAATACCTGTCTTCTTTCGACCATTACACCAACTGAGTACTGTGTGCATTTCGACTTCCTCCATCTGTGCCGAAAATATGTTTAATGCCCACTTGTGTCCACAGTATCACCCCTATATTCAAACAGCACCAAGTGATAATTTCGCAGTTTTTGACCCGTAAGCGGGATTCGTTGAAGACTACGTTTGCTTTCCGGAGGTCTTCTCAAATACTCAAAAACCTCAAAGCTGCGGATGCTGCAAACACACCCTTACCGACAGGGTTTCTCTACTGACGAATGTCCACAACCGAGTGTTACCGCTTTTGACAAAAGCGCACCCTGTGCTATCAGGTGACTAAAAGATGAGCATCAGCTATCTAGGGGCAGCAACTGTTTGCTAAACAAGTAAGGAGAATTTGTTACTACACTGATTGTGTCCATGATGTATCCATTTCTGTACAGCAACTGGCTACTTACAATCCGGTACTTTTTAAACACTGCAAAGCCAGTTCACCCCTGTCTATATCGGCAGTTTGCACAAGATGTAATTACTTGATTCAGGAAAGCTTTCTTCATTTCTGAATTAGGGCATTGTATTCGCTGTACATAAAAGTTATTGAAATGGAGATTTCTGTGTTTCACGATTTTATTTCTCTCTCGTTCTAAAGGTAAGTGGTGAAGATCACCTCGTTGTCCGAGAGCCTTTCTTCTTGCTGATGATAGAACGAAGCCTATGCGAAGAAATAGCGCAGTTGCCCTATTACAAACGTTACGTGGATGATATCTTGGTGTTCATTTCAACAGAAATGCAGATCGCAGAGCTAGTGGCGCGTTCTAACTCATCGCATGTCAATTTGAAGGTTTCCTGCGAAGTCGAACAACAGAACTGTCCTCCATATTTGGATGTTCTTATCAGCCGCAGGGATAACGGACTGGTAGAAAGGTCTGTCTATCGAAAACCAACGTGGTCCGGACAGTATCTGCATTTTAGCAGCTTTAGGCCACTTCGGCACAAGCGAACGCTTGTGAAGACCCTGTTTAGTCGCGCCAGACGAATATGTTCGACCGATTGTCTAGCCGATGAAATAGAACTAATTACCAACACGTTAATTGCTAATGGCTATCATCGAAACTTTATCCGAAAGCACAGCGAAATCCGCAAAAAGAAAGTTGCTCTACCTACTGTGTCTAAAAAATGGTATTCTTAGAGCTGCCCTTTAAGGGTGAGATGGCTTCTTTGAGGACCAGAAGACGTCTGATTTCCGCCACACAGAGCACTTTCTGTGCTGCCGAAGTTGTAATCCTTGACTGAACTCATAAGCTACCGTTGCCTCCACTAAAGAAAACTCAGCCTATTGGCGCCAACTCCCATTGCGTATATCAATTCGTATGTAACTGCGGGGACAGTTACATAGGCAGAACCAATAGAACACTGAGTTCCCGAATAAAGGAGCACATACCAAAATGGGTTCAATGCGGGCTTAGTCAGCAAGCAAGCCCAAATCAGACTACATGTGTACGCAGGCCACCAGCATCTTCGATCGGCAGGCACTTATTGACAACAGGTCACCGAATTGAGGTCAACTAGGCGTTTAGAATCCTGCTTCGCCATACTAATTCCCGGCTCCTCCGGTTTGCCGAGGCGATTGCCATTAGTCGGATTAAGCCAGTACTTTGTGTTCAAAAACAATTATCGATCAGCCTCAGGCTGCCCTGGTTGTAGACGAAAGATACCCTTTTTCTCGCGTTGGTTTATATGGATGTCTGTACCCACAAACTGTTACATAAAATTACCGGTTATCGTTATCGGCACTGATGAGACGATACGAAATGCATGCGTCTGCCGAACTTCGTCTACTACTTATGCTTTTCAACTTACAAAAAGTGTCCCACATACGTGGTACTAAACCATAATGCCAGGTCAAAGCCTAATGGATATAGCGGGAAGGTGAACGTCGACCCCTGCGATTTTCTGTGCACTGGCTACCCTTCGGACAAGATGCATTCAGAGTGAAATACTTTGTAAATCTGATAAGGTTTTCATCCCAACAGTTCACAAGCTACATAGCAGAGCCTAGTCCGGAAAAGCGCCAGACGCGTTTCGCCCTACTGGGGCTCGTCAGTGGCGCGCATTCCCTCGGTCCTCTAAGGAGGATCGAACCCATGACCGCTAGAGGCAGATACCAACTAGCCAGCAGCTTAAGCCACTGAGCCATGGGGGACGTTGGCTGGGCTACATAATTTGCAAACTAGCTGGGATATAGCACCACCTATCTACCACTGTCACTGACAGTGGTTAGCCTGCAAGGTGATGATGTCCTCTCACTAGACGCTATATCTATAGCATTTGAAACTAGGAGAGGCATTTGATTTTATAGTACTCATTAGTAGCAGGATTTTTAGTTGTAAATCTGATAAGGCTTTTGCCCTGTGCTGTTTGGCTTACTGTTGACCAGCCAGAAGGGTGGAATTACTACTCCTAATGAAAAATAAATGTTCCAACTTGGATTTCATAACCTCTAGACTCAGACAGACAGGTACTGCACGTACGAAAATTACCCGACGGAAATCTTATCTGTTAGGAAATCGTCAGCGGTGCGCATCCAAAGTGTACAATGTGATGAGTACTTAATTGAGTCTACATTCATATCCCCAAACCTCTATTGATCATTATGACCGCCAAAGTACTTATAATGTCCCAAGTTTATTGACGGCTTAAGTTCAGCAATTTCGATATCTGTAGGAGGTCATCTTTTACTCTACATGGCGGCAGCCCTCAATTAAGGGAAGAGTAAGCTGCTCTATATCACATATAGTAACTTAGTCATGTCAGTCGCCGTTCTCTTAGCCCGTTATCTCTGACTACGGACTGCTAACAGTCGAGTCTCTAGATTTATCCAGACAACAGTCGGATGAGATGCGCACCGTTAAAAATTCCTGACAGGAAGAAAAGGTCGTTCAGTGCTTTCTTCGACCTTCTGTGCTTCACCGTAATGAATTTCGACTGCAACCATTCTAATCCCCGAAATACTGCATTCTCGTTATGATTGTACGGTAGCTATTTGACCCAAAGATATGATGATGAATGGGGATAGATGAGGTAAGTACTTGTAGGATTCTTGGTAGCAACTTCTAAAGCAGAAAGTCCTCCACATGCTCTGAAAGCAATCAGATGACTGCAACCCAATAACTCATGAAGGGTCATTCTAACTCGGACGTAAGCCAAGTGAAGTTAAGGATGTACTTTTCTGCACTGTTGGCGGTTGAATTTTCAGTCCCGACGTACATTCCACCGACATGACAAGAAACAGAAATTCAAGAACGACAGAACAGCAGCAAAAGCTCACTGAAGAATATGACCACACTGGCAGTATTTACCGGCCAGTTTTGTTCAAAAAGAAATCTGGATAAATAGAATGACCGACGAACCATAAGCCCTGATGCAGGCATACATTACTCTATACTCTTGTCTGATCGACGAGGTAAGTCAGTCAGTCAAGTCAAACTAAGCTTTATGTACCCTAATGGGTTAATTTTCAGCATTTACACCATAATTGCGGACACCTGGATGATAATATCAACATACATGCTTGGCTAACAAAGTGGAAAAATACAGAACTGTTACTCCAACAAGCGCTCGCGCAGCATATGTGTGACTTTCGCTGGGTCAACAAGCAATCGTGAGAGATAAGACATAACAGTATTACGATACGATTACGTGTGGGAGAATAAAATGCTGAATTTCGAACGAGTGGAGGAGAAAGAGAGCGTTTTAGAAAGATCATTGTGAATTGGGTGAAATAGGTCAGTTAGTATCTTAGAAGAAAAATCATTCCAGGCACCAAGGTGTCCAGAAATAAGCAATTTAACTAAGGAATTTATAGTCAATCCGCTGCATCTAGCAATGTGCTTTATAGACCGCACCAATAAGATGTAGTCTTTCTGAAGTAGTCCAGGGAAATGACAAGAGAACAGTATAGCCAATGGGGAATAATACAAGAGATCACAAACCTGAATTTTAAAGTACGAGGTACTGAAAACATCTTAAGTGGGTGGGCATAAAAAGACAGCTTTCTGACTTTTTGAAAAGTTTTACAGACGTGCGCGGACCAAGAAAGCTTCTGGGACAAAAAACACCGAGATACGTGACGGTGGAAAGCTGGGTATGGGATTTTCATTCACAGTAACTGTGGGGGAGAAATCTATGAGGGATTGCAACTTATCGCCACTTAGAAAAGAAAATAGTACATCCCTGCATTTAGAATCATCAAGCGGGAGATATCTGGATGAAGACCATTCCACCAGATCTTCCAACCCACATTGAAGTGATGAGGAATCATGGTTAATGGGGGACATACATCCCAACACAACATCATCAGCATACTTACACTCCATAAAAGTGGTTTGTATAGGGAGCTGTTCAACATACAAGGAAAGTAGAAAAGGTGATAGGCTCGCTCCCATTAGAACACCACAGTCGGCACGGAGGACAGAGGATTTCTTACCGTTCAACTTGGTGAAGTGTGTGCGATCTGTAAAATAGTCATGTAACAGATTACACACCCCCGTGTGAGCTCCATTTTCGGATAGCAGGTTTAGCAACCTTGACCTATCCAGGCTTCCAAAGGCATTCGAATAATCCAGGAACAGAAGCCGTACGGATTTACATTTTTGATCTAATGCAGAAGCTATAGAATGATCAACAAATGCCACTGCATCCAATGTGGAGCGCTGGGTCTATACGCCAACTGGTAGATATCGTCTTCAGGAGCGGCTGACAAAATCCGCGGAATTAACAATCTTTCGAAAACTTTTAGGAGCACAAATGCACATGCAATTGGGTGATACTTTTGAGATCCAGTTTTTGGTACTGGAGTAATGCTGGCCGCTCTCCGAATATCCGGGATCACACCCGTAGTGCAGCACTTGTTAAATAGGTCTGTTAGAAGCAGTGTGAGAGAATTAGCAAACTCCTTCAAAGTTAAGGGTGAGAGAGCATCAGGACCACAAGCTTCTACTGCCTTTAATCTTTTGTGTTCCTTGTGGACGTTGCTTTGATCGAAGGGCGCGGCTGGACTTGAGCTAATGAAGAAGGGCAAAGAAGATGAGTTTGGTGAGGCGTAACTAAACTCTGAATTCAGTTTATCCACATCCACTTCAGCGCTCTGGCTGCAAACACTCTTGCCACAGCGCTGCCTCAGAAGCCTCCATAGATCGCGACAGTTATGGTTGCCTAGAACTGCTTCGACGTATAATTGGTTTAGTCTTTTTATCTCAGATTTAATTGCCGTGGTTAAGCTTTTGACAGGTAGCATGCTTGCACTTATAGGCCCATTCTTTCATCATTCGAAATCGCTTTAGTAGTGGTGAGGCAAATCTATCTGCTCTTAGATAGATAGTTTCAACAGGGCAACACATGTCAAAGCAATATTTAATGTAGTCTGTGATATGTTCACATTCGAGCGACAGGTCCGCGTTCTGGAAGACCGAAAAATCAGTTAAAAATAACATCGTCTGGAGTCTCGTGATATTTTCCAAGGAGCAATTTCGCCGTTTGATGACCTTGTAAGGCCGTCTGGTCAGCGTTAAAAAGTGAGACCTGCTGTAGATGACTGGACACAGTTTTAAAATACAATGGTCTG